GAACACCCATGGGAGTTTAAAAAAGGTAACTAACCAATACACTCACACAAATTGTCAAACTGCAACTTCAGTGGTCTTCTCATTCAATTAAGCTGAGCAAAGCTTATAAGCCCAGCAAGGCGTGAGCAAGCTCTGCACTCTTAAAATCATATGAGTTTGAGTTTAACGAGTTTACCGTACCCTCTAAATGCTCAAGATTGCTGTTCACCGTGGCACGGTGGTACAGAAGGCCTTTGATGGCCTTTGATGGCCTTTATGGTACCTTCGTAAGGTCTCCAATGGACTGGGTGAAGAGGTAGGGAGCGACCCATCGAAACCCAAACAACGCAGTCCGTTGAAACCAAACGACGCAGTCCGTGGCCAAGGTCATGATCATCGAAAAGTGCTTCGAGTCAAAGAACCAAGAAAGAAAGAGCAACACAGTGGAAGGACGGAATAATTTCTGCCTACCTTGCCGTGTTCTTTGAAGATATGTAAAAGGTCAATGATAGGCAAAATGAGGTGTAAATATCCCAGTCCGATGCATTCTTCTTGGGGGAATGAACCAAACTAACAAGGAAAACAGCGACACAAAGCATGCAACACAAGCTTCCACCGCTTCGCCTGAACCGGAACCTCCTCCACATCGAACCCATCTTCGCATCGAGCGCAGCGGCGTAGGCCATGACGGCCCTGGGCCCCGTGAGCGGTGCAGCGGCGGTTGGGGCGTCCAACGAGGCGAGCCATGCGAGCAGCTGGCATCGGTGTAGTCCATCGAATGCATAGATCGGCACATGACGAGCCATGCTGGTTCCCCCCAACCTTTTTGGATGTAGCAACCCCTTGAGGCGAACTATGACGCGCTCTGAAAAAGCTGGTGGCAAAGAAAGACGGGTCGGTGAAGGGTAAATTGGGTGCCTGTGTCAGATAGAGCCTGCGGCGAAGCCACACCACACTTGGAGAGCAGTTTGGGGATGGGGAAACCATCAACAGCAGCTCACGGGCGCTGATTCGCGCTCGCTGGATCTGGCAGTATTCCGAAAACAAACCAATTCTTGAAAGAGTGCAACTTTACAATTCCAAAGTCGAAGTTCTGCACAGGACCAATCTAGACTTTCAGTGATGAGGCAGCATGGTCCTCAAGCCCCTAGTGTCCATCATGAGGATTGGGCCTATAATTTGGGATTCGCGGACTGATGTTTGTCAAATCGCCAAATGCAAAATCAATTCTGGTTGGGATTCTGGAATCAACCGTCTGCATTACGGGAATTGCAGGCAGTGGCTTCATGGTCACATGAGAGCTGAACCCTCCACACTAGCCCGACCCCCCCAACAACCCAGGCCGCCATGCCGCGCGCGCGGGGCGTGTGCGCGTGCCAGCGCAGGCCTGTCCCGCACCGAAGCAATCCTGATTCTCATCCACCTGACAGCTCGCACGGAAGGAACAGTTTCCCGAGTTTGATCCTGTCCCACTGAGGGATGGACTGGCCTGGTGTTGCAAAAAACATCTGGAAACAACTCTACTGGTTG